CTCCTCGTTACCACTTAAGCCTATATGAGATGGAACCCATTGCAATCTTAGATTTATTTGAGAGTTATTCAGCATGTGTATCCTTTTTAACACATTGTAGGCTATCGGTATACCTCTGCTATAACCAGAGGTGCACCGAGCCAAATGCTCTAAAGCGCTTTTGCTATCGGTGAGTATAACAAAATTTCCATAATCAAAATTCCTTATCATATAGTTAATTGCTTCTAATATTGCAAGGAGTTCCATGGTCATAATTGACACTGGAGCGTCTACTTTTAACATACTAGATATTTGGTTTAATGGATCATAAAAGGCAGCACCGAGTTTATCATTCTTTTTTGCTCCATCGGTAAAGATTTTAAACCAATTTGGATACTTCCTGTTTATTTCATTTAAAATGTCAAATTTAATATAATTCTCTAAATTCTTTTTCGATTTTTTAACGCAATCTAAATTTAAGCTTATAACATTATTTAAACCTATATAGCTCAACCATATATCTAATTTAAACATTTCCAAAGGGTATGAGTTTTGGACCACACAATCTTTACAGTCACTATAAGCTGTACATAGCAAAGGTTTTTTAGCACGCTGCCAATATCTTTCGCAAATTGGTGCACAAAGGTTATTTAAAAGATCTATGGTAACATTATTTGATCGAGACATACTTTTACTACAAAACTTAAGGGCAAGATAATGTCTTCTCAGAGATAATGGTGGTATACATAGCTCACTTTCCATAACGTGGATTGGTGTACTTTTTATAAATCCTCCTATTATTCTGAGGACAGTATTTTGAACCTTGTCAAGCTTAGATAAATGAGTTTTTGCACAATTAGCATATAAAAAACAGCCAAAATCAAATTTACTTCTAACCAATGATATGTATAAGGTACGAAGATGCTTAGGGTGAATTCCCCAGCCTGGGCCTGTAAGTATCCTAAGTAAATTTAAACATTTAGAAGATTTTTCTACAAGCATATTCACATGATTGCTCCACCGTAGCGATCTATCCAGCGAAAGTCCTAAATATCTAACATTATCTTCAACAGACAACATATTATTATTAACGTTTAAATTTATGTTTAATCTCTTATGCCCTCTATTAAAAATACATACTTTAGATTTCTTTGCAGATAACTGAAGCCCTATATTATCTAGTAAAATCATCATAGCGTTTAATGCCGCTTGTAAATTAGTCTCGCAATCATTCAAATTTTTGTGACTCGTATATAATACAAAATCATCTGCGTACTGAGCTACAATAACATTAGTGATTTGCTGGCTAATGTTGTACGTAATAATATTGAATAGCAGTGGAGATAAAGGATCCCCTTGTGCAAGTCCTCTGTTAGTATGTCTTTCATCTAAAATACTACTTCCTTGACCGAACCCTTTTTTAATTGTAAGGTGTCTTTCGTTTAAGAATGACCAAAGATATCCGCAAATACTTTTTCCTACTCCTAATTGGTCGAGAATATTAATAACTTTATCAACTAAAACATTATTGTAGGCATTTTCGATGTCAAGAAAACATGAAACTGTTGGCACTTTTTTAGCGAAACCTATTTGTATATAACTTACTAATCTTGCTAAACAATCCATGCACGAGTGAGCCCTTCTGAACCCGCATGTTAATGGCGAAAAAATTTGTTTTTTTTCTATATACCATTCTAAACGCTTAACCAACATACTATGAAAAATTTTACACAAACAGGATATAAGTGAAATAGGTCTAAGCTTGGGTTCAGTATCAAACTCACTACCTAATTTAGGTATAGGGACTATCAATATTTTACGCCACTGACTCGGTACACAGCCCAATCGAAATATAGCGTTATATATATTTAAAAGCAATTCTTTTCCAGACAGAGGTAAATTATAAATCATTGAGAACGTAATACCATCACTACCTGGAGCAGTGTCTCGGTTCTTTAAACAACTTTCTAATTCTTGTAAGGTAAAAGGAGTCTCGAGAAGATCATTATTTGAAATTAAAGTAGGGGCGCAATTAGACACAGAGTCTGGAGTTAGAGATCGAAGTAATTCTTTTTGTTTATCATCTGGAACCGAGAGCTGGGTATGCCGAAGTCCTTTAAACCATTGCATCTTGTTCCACATGTCTAAGATAGATGTACACTCATCAATACTTCCACAAAAATTCCTCCAACTGCAACCTTTCGCCAACCAAAGCTGTTCCCTTACCGCCGTAACTTTGCTCTCCAATATTTCGAGATTATCAGGAGTTGGATTTCTTCTAAAATTCCCCAAAGCCAGTCTTCGTTCTGCCACTAATTTAGATAAAGATGAACACCAGAATTCTCTTGGTTTAAATTTGTTTGTTGGACCAGTATTTAATCTTAGTAATGGAATGCGCCTATTAGCTGCGAGGATAATTTGACTTAAAAAAAAATCATAGTGTTTCTGAACATCATTAGTATCAAAATTACAACTATTAAATTGAGACGTAATATTTAATAGGTCGCTTTGATATTTATCCCAATCCGCTTTTTTAAAATTCCACCTTATATTATACTCTACGTTACTACTAAAACACATAGTGATTTTAATCATTAAATGATCGCTGCCTAAATTTTCATTTAATACTATCCATTTAAAATATATTGCAATATCTGAAGATGCAAACGTAATATCAGGCGATGATTTTTGTAACAAACCATTTACCAATTTAATGCGAGTGGAATCTCCGTTATTTAAAGACACAAAACCGTGCTCCAGTGCAGAATCTATTATTTGCAGACCCCTACTATCATTTTTGTATGACCAATTCGTGTGATGGCCATTGAAATCACCCGCTATTATTGTTTTTTTATTTATAAGACTAAAAATGTTATCCCAATCTGCTTGACGTGTTTGGACTGACGAAGGAATGTAAACAGAGATAATATTTTCTAAATATTTACAATTTAAAATCTTTACATGGACAATTTCTATACCTGGATTGATGGCATTGACGGAGCAAAGATGTGATTTTATTGATTTATGTACAATGACTGCTACCCCTCCATAGGAGTCGGGCCTATCCTTTCGGTAAACATTGTATCCTCGAATACGAACAGGTGTTAATTCATTCAACCAAGTTTCACATATTATTGCTATATGCACGTTTTCACTACACAATATAGAATCAAAATCAACTAACTTAGGCCTTAAGCTTTGTGAGTTCCACTGAACAATGTTTATATTAAAGTCTTTAGCCATTCCAGAGGTTTAAGAATTTTTCTGCCCACATCCCACCGGAAATATTTTTCATCAATATTAACTTAAACGTTTCAAAAATCGTCTTCAAAACCATAAGGATTTTATCTTCAAACTTATCTTCTGACATAAAAATTTCTTTTAATTTCCAAATCAAGTCACGGATGTTAAACTTTCTGCTTTTCTCTTTATCTTCATCTTTCTCAGTTATCTTATCTATACTATCTTCGTTCTCTGAGCTCGAATCTTCACAATCCATTGATGTTTCCTCCTGTGTGTTTGGTATTTTATCCTTAATTACTTTCTTTCTTTTTTTCTTTGTAGGATTAGATTTTTTTGTTGCATCACTATTCAAATTATTTTCCTTATCTTGAATGTTTACTGAATGTACTTCCACTGTACTTTTTACTACGCTGCTGTATGTTCTAACTGTATTTTTATTCTTATTCTTGCTGCTATTTATTGTGAAAACTTCAGTTTCCTCTTTCTTCTTATTCTCCTTTTCATTTCTCAAATAAAGTTCTAAAGCCTTTTTGTACGTAATATTTTCTTCACTCATAATACAGCGAATCTTTTTTTCTTTAAGAAAAAAAGGGCAAATTTTGTCTAATGCCATGTGAGGACCGTTACAATTTGGACATTTGTATTCTTCTGTATCACAATTAGTATGATCCTTTCCGCACTTAGGACATATAATTTTATTCAAAGAACAAAACTTTTTACTGTGGCCAAACTTCCAACATCCTGAACATTGTGTTACAGGAAACACAAATTTATCGACGTCGTATTTACAACCATAAGCATCAATGATCTTTGGAATAGACACATTCTTAAAACATAAACGTACTGATTCACTTTCTATCCACTTATTCTCGCTATCTAAACGTTTCATTCTCTTTGCAGATACTATCTCGCACGAGGCTCTTAGATTTTCTAATAATTCTTCTTCACTAATATCAAGGTCTACCCCTCGTATGATCCCATAAGATAAGTTACTTTCGTCAGTAAATTGCGCCCTTATATTCATTTCTGCTAATTTTCGACTTGTAATGAGCTTTTCAGCCTGCTCTTTACTATTAAATACAATAAATATTTTGTATGGACTTTTGTATTTAATCTTACTTACGTTAACTATACATTCATTCCTCAAAAATCTAGCAAAAGCCATCTGTTTCGGCATAATTTGTTGTGAAAATAAACAAACTTCATATTTTTCTTTTTCTGTTGTATAATTACTATTTATGTTTCTGTTTACAACTACATTAGAATCCATATATGACATATTTTCCGTAGAACAACTTCTAATCAAACGTTTTGAACTTTTCTTTTGGACTGTTATAAAACCATCTTCACTGCCGTCTTCACTCTCTCGCGTACGTTTTCCGTTTTTCCGGTTCTCCAATTCTTGTAACTCTCTTTGACATTCATTTAATATCTCCGAATCACTTTTATCTTCATCGCTTGACTTCTCCTCCATTATAAATTATAGAGGGTAGATATATAAAAAACAATATCACTCAATCGTATAATATTACTGCGTGCGTTCGTCACAACGTTCCGCGCGCAACTGGGAAGACAATTAATATACATTAATTGCCTTCCCTTGCTATTTATCCTAAAAATTCTCAAAATGAAAATCAGAAAAATGAATAATGTAATACTGTCTGAGAAATGAAAAGGCTTTAGAATAATAAATCAAAATTTTACTTACATTAATATTCTTACTTTTATAAATAAGAAAGAAATGATTTCTCTCTGATGCTACTATGAGAAAAAATATAATGTATGATACTAGAATTTGCTCTCGCTTCGCTTGGATGCGTTTGTTGTGTTATAATATTATATACAGGCAGTGTCACCATTTGGCAATTTTTATGACTAATAATAGCTTATGCCTTACAATCAGTCTTTCTGTGTACTAAGTTTTATCCAAATCTGTCTATCCGTTTCAGCCTGAAGCCAATAACAAACATATCGCTACACAAATACAAAATTTCGCATTCACTGTCATAAGATATACTTATTATAAAGTTAACCGAAAAAAGTAGCTCAAAATTTAGAAATCAATAATAATTTAAAGTTCCTCATATTTTACATTTTAAGAAATCGTTGTGTATATCTGTTTTAATTAGCACATTTTTATTTTATTCTATTTCATTCTACAGGTTCCGCATGCGGAGGGCAGTGCTGCGGACGGGGCAGAGAGATACATTTACGTAATATCATCCGAAGTACGGCAGCGGAACGCGTGGCGACTGTGACGCGGCCTATAACAGAACTACTGTTGGCCACCAAGAGGATACTTCAAGGTAATTAACATGATTTTTACTTCACTGACACGACTGGTAAGAGTTAGGTTTTACGTGCTCTCTGAGGCCTGATGATGTAAAATGTAATACCGCCAAATTCCTAACTCCGGGCTGCCGAGAGAAAAACTCATTAACTAAACTTGGCCCGACTCGGGATTCGAACCCAGGACCTCCGGATCTGCAGTCGTACTTGCTAGCCTAGACCACTAAGGCAGGCACGGAAAAATAACCTTTGTATTAATCCAGAATATAAGCTATTCGTTGAGTTGTAAAAGCGCATTTTCGGATTTATAACAAGAGTGATTAGTGTGATAACGCCACTACACATCTAAATAAAAAGACCAAGTGTAACATTTTAAAATTTTAATGAATAAATTTTTAGATAACCTAAGCTCGAGCTAAAGGATTTTCAAATTTTTTTTATTCTATGAGGCTAAAAATGTTGTCTACGATAGATTTAAAAAAAATGCGAAATAATTGTTAGGGCACCTAATTCGCACAGATTTGCTTTTTAAAAATTTTAAATTTCTAATTGCAGGCTCCATTTTTTGTTAGAATTTGGATTGGATGTTTTCCAGTAGTAATTACTTAGTCGTATATTAAAATTGATAGCATAATAGTGAAGGCCGATGTTTTTTTAATTTTAAATTAAGATAAAATATTATAAAATATATTATTATTTTTAGTGAAAAAATGTTAGATATACTTTGCTCTAATTTATAAAGAAATTAAGTACTCTCGCTAGTATAGTTTAATAAGGCTTCGTACAGAGGGATCCAAATATAATCAAAACTTTTCTTACACATAACTTAGATATTGTTTGTATGATATTCTCCATATAAGTACTATTATATAACTCATATTAAGTTGCGTTGTCCTTGTTAGAGTTTGTGATTGTTTCAGTTTGATATACCTATATACCTATATGTTAAAACTAGGCTGATTTACCTAGTCTATAATCTTACTTCTTAGCGAATTTCTTTCCTGCCAGATTACGTTGTATTTTTAAAAAATAACGTAATTTAGACAATGATAAATTTTAGTAAGATATAAAATGTTGGCTTATATGTGATGGGGGACTTAGTGGTTACGAATTTCAATCAATTCAATTTTCAAGTTCAATTCAATTTAATAAGGGAAATCACAATGTTATAAGCTTGAAACGATAATTCTAATAGTTTAATTGAGCATCGGGTTTTCGACGCCGATCTGAGTTCAACACACAACACTCCTCACAATAATCAACCAAATACCAAGCTACATATTTCCAACGAATATCATAGCGCCTCGACCCCGCTCGAGATGTAGACTCTGCTCTTAATGTGAATTTGATTAAGGTTAAATAATAAGGTTTTACAATCTAGCAGAAAAGTGTATCTAAATCCTCCTGAGACTTATGTAATAATATTTACGTTAAAAAATAGGTTTTTCATATTTAATTGAAATATCATTGATTGTCATATAAATTAATTCGTAGAAGTGAGAAAATCTTTTGTTTCGATTATCACACGAGTTGTTTTGTAATTTAAGATTTATTATGCGGTTGAAACAAATCTCTGTGAGTAAACAAAGTGTATTTAACTTCTTATTTTATATGTACTAATCACCGCCATCTACAATAACCTATTACTGGTTTTTTTTAAAATGTCTATAAAAATTAAGGTTAATTTACATTCACATATATTTATCATATCTAAGAAATATTTTATTTTTTATGTACATGCTATCATATTCTGTCAGTATGGAAAATATAAAGTTTTATACAGATAAACAATATCGGCAATATATAAAAGCAATAACGCCAGCTTAGAGTTTAAATAATATTTGGACAAAGCATACGTTTCAACAAAATGCGGATTTATAGGGATTTGAATAAAAGTCGATAAAAAAATAGAGATCTATTATGAATATGGATAGATTACTATCTTTCTATAATATAAAAATGAATCGCTGAATGTGTTAGTAAGCGCAAATCTAGAGAGCAGCTGAACCGATTTCGCTAAATTTTTTTTTAGAATATTCCTTGAAGTACGAGAATGGTTCTTACGGAGAGAAAAATTTAAAAATTGCCTGAAAAAGTCCAAAAACAACACTTTTCTATACTTCCATACAAAAGATTCGTAATAATACTTAAAAGTCAATTAGAACTTTAATACCATACCATAAAGTTTAAGTGTTAGTGGAGAGGTTCCGGGAAGGCAAAACAATTGAGTGACGTTAGTATCGTATAAATACTAAGTACAAAAAGAAATTATATGGCTAACGCTGGCTAACAACTATTTATATCTATTTAAAATGTACCTAGCGACAAACCCGATCGAAGCAAGGGTGAGCCGCTAGTTCAACATAAATCACAAGAACAATACACACATATTTATTATTTTATTTTCATCTACTGGTTTTGACTTAAAAAGCTTCTAGGTATGCTTTTAGTCAGAAAGCATTTTCGGTTTCCAATGATTTTTTGTTTAGTACAATTTTTAGAAGGATGTATGATGAATAGATGTTTTTTAATTCTCTTGGATATGTTATTTTTAATTATTTAAATAAAGGTATTGTAAAGTAACATTTTATTAATTAGTTATTCATAGGTTTTCATATTATTTGGGCCTCTGTTTCTGTCAAAGTTATGGTTTTTAATACAGCAAAATAATAGACAATATGATTTTTTAAATTATGTTATTGATATCGATATTAATAGTAATTCTTATTCAGTAATATTTATTTATATATTCGATACTACTAACGATTTTTGTGATATATCTTTCAATTAAAGTGTAGATAGTTTGTTTTTCGGTAACGAGCAATCGGTGCAGTAAACAATAACCAAATGTTTCGGATCAGATCAACCCTACTCTAACGAACACAGTTTTATATACAAAATGTAACATTCAATTTTGACACTTTTCTACATATGTTTCTAAGGCTATTTTTCTAAGCACAGTTATTAAGTAAAACTACAACTTACAGGGGTTGTAGGAACAATAAATACTTAGGTTGTTATGGACGTAACGATACTTGTTTACCAAACACTCGAACGTCGGCAAATTGGGCGCTGTATGCAATGACACCGTCCTACCATTGTAAATATTAGACTACGGGGGTTATGTACATACATCTATAATTATTTTGCTCGACTACACAGTGTTATGTAGGAACTAACATTGCTTGATAAAATTATTTTAATCATTAACCTTTATTTTTATATATTTAAAAATCATTAATTACCCGGTTCAAACAGAACCCAGTAAATTTTGTCTTATTTCATTTATAGAAAGCAGTAAGTTTTAGTTAAGTATATAGTACGTTATTTTCAAGATTTTGTCATAATTATTTCAATGTGCAAATACTACCTATATTATTAAGCATTCAATTGCTTTTAATGTAATATGCGAACTTTATTCAATAAATGGTACCTAAGTGGGTATAACTGTAAGTGATACTTATAAGTTAATATATTATTTTACATCCTATCTCAATTTTAAATAGTTTCAAAAGCAAAAATTGCTATAGGAAAGTCAAATATTAGATATTCAAAATATATTTTATGGCAGTAAAATCTTCGTTTCCTGAAGGTATCACGTGCAGGCATTCAGAAAATGTAAACGATTTCGCATAAATGAAATTTATAACCACCTTATTGAATATCGAAGCTCACGAAGCTCCCATATAACAAATCAGTTTTATTTACAGAATCTTTATATTCCATAAAATTTAATGAGCATAGCTATTAACTCCCAACGACTTAGCTGAGTGTCGTTATGCATCAAATGTTTCCTTCATTGTTTGCTCTAGTGTTTTACAGGCAGTTTTATGACGAAGATTAATTTCGTGAATACAATATGAAGAAGTGCCGTAAATATGGTTCCCATTGTAAAAGTCGAGAATAACAAGCTTTGTGATATATTCACGCAGCTTGATTGGCCATAAGTCTGGAAAATAATTTTTATTTTATTTTTATTATCTATGTTTGGTTTAAATGCCATGGTAAGAGTAAGAAAGAGTCTCCAATTTTAAATAATCGTCAGACAGCGTGAATGATTTATAAATAGAGGGTATTTAAATTTTTAGTTTAATGAATATCGTGGTGTACATTTAATTATTAATACGAATATTGTAAAGCTTGAAGAAATTCTTTGTGTTTTTTTAACATCACGCAAAAAAAATTTAAGACTAAGAATTTGCACGCTTCTCTGACTTCATAGTTTAAAAAGAACGAATTTTTATACAAGCACCTATATATTTTATAAAAAACACGTATACAATAATACAAATATAAATAATGTATATACATATACTACATGTACATATTGTACTATGTTTTTGGTCATTTGAACGCGGGCAAAGCCGCTGGTAATGCTAGTGTCATATAAATACAGGTGTAGTGTAAACAGGTAAGTAGTAAAAAGCTGTTATTTTGACATTACAACCAGACATTTCAATTTTATTTATCAATATATGTAGATTTGATACTCAAAATGTGATTATCTGTGTATTTATTCATGAAAATAAATTTGAATATTTTAAGTTTTAGTAGATACAGCCTTTATATAACTTATTTAATATAACGTTATATTAGTATCATAACTAATTACATACTTAATCATAGTTGTTTGTAATGAATAACTTATATTTTGCTTATCTTGCTATACATTTTGCATAACAACATGGAAACAAATTACCCTAGAGATATAACTAATGGAATTAAATTAATGCTTATTATTATTTTCATAGTTAATTAATTTATTATCGTCTCACATCACTTAGCTAATATATTATATACCTAATAATATTTTTTACAACATCATTTAGCTATTATTTGAAAGCTTTTTTTATTCATTATTATATAAAAAAATTATTAAATTCATAAATAAGTGCTTTAAGTATACTTTAAATAGAAAAACTTAAAGAAATGTCACTTGAAGTTCCTCCAACATTGATAAAGAAATGAAATGCATAGCGAAACAACTTTAGCGAGTGCAATGACCTTTATAATGAGCAGGTTTAGAACAATGTGCTCACCCTCGGCTAAAGTAAAAGGAAATACGGCAAGTGTAGTGGTAGGGCCCTTTATCCTTCACATCACTTGCACTGTTACGCGGTAACCTATTAATCACTTCGATACGTAACTAGTGATAAAACTATACCTACGTACATACGAATTTAATCGTACTTTCACATATATATATATATATATATATATATATATATATATATATATATATATGTAACTTTCATATATATGTAAACTTTAAGCTTTATTATATACTAGCATTGCCCGCGGCTCCGCCCGCGTTCAGATGACTAAAAAGTAAAAACCAAATTCTTAGGTTTTACATATTAGTATACTCTTACAATGCAGTTTTTGTATTTTTTCTCAGAAATGAGATATTTTCCCGCGGTAAGAAGTATCCTATATGTTGACCGGGATAACCAACTATCACCATACCAAATTTTGTCAAAATCTCTCCAGTAGTTTTTCTGTGATGCGGTAACAGACAGACAGACAGACAGACAGACACGGCTTAGTTACAATTTTAATGTTTTTTTTTGATTTTTAGTTGTTTAAATATGATTTGTTGAATCAATTTAAGATAAACCCATGGAATGTGGGTGTATTTCAAAGCATACTGACTGAACCTACCTCGATGGCAGCTAGAATGCTTTACAACTTTAAGTTTAAATAGTGAGTACTAATTTTAAGTTAATAGCCTTTTGTTTAAGATAAATTGCCGTTGTATTTTATATATTTAGGGAACGATAGGACTGACTGACATTTTCGTCTTGTGCTTAAAAAGTCTCTAAATAAAAACAGATAAAAAAATAGAACCCTCATTGAGTGCTTATTATTTTATTTAAAAAATATGATAAAAGTTAAAAAAGCACTTCTATGTATATCTTGGTAATAATGATGTGAAGATAAGTATGAAATAACAGAAAAATGATAAGGGCTTATGTAAGATAAATAATTAATAATTTAAATAAGAATAATAATAGAAAAATGATAAGGGCAGTTACTCAAAGGCAGCGGCTCCGATGGTTAAATATTTTAATATTTTTAAGTTAAACCTTTTTTTAGAAGTATTTATATTCATACCTATTAATATAAATGTACACGTGTCAGTTTGTTTTAATTTTTTTTACTAATATCATAAGTTCCGGCAGCAATGGAATAACAATGATTGATGTAACTTTTGGCATAGAGGTAGTTTGTAGACTAGATATACAGAATATGTAATAATATACCTAAAATTATTTTTAAACCCGTAATAATATCAGTATAGGTTTCTTAATAAAACCAGCACGTGCGTTATTTTTAAGGGTTCCAAAACAAAGATTATTAACATGCTATGAAGAGGGATACCCTATTGTGTTCATAGGGTTATGAGCCGAGACCGCCATCATCGTCCCTCATTACAGCTCGAGAGCAAATCCGCCTTTATACCGCAGTCACTAACATGTCACAGTCATATTGAAATCTCTTGAGCGAATCTGTTTCATTAAAAACCACTTTTAACTTTCTCTATCCTGTCTTTGTACACCATAATGCGGATATCTAGATATTTTATAAATATATATATTCTTTTAAAAGTGGTCTTCATATTTTTTCTAACACTTATAGTCTTAAGGCTTAAAGATATATGTATGTATTTAAGCGAAATTTCGAAACGTATATATATTCTACAATTAAAAGTTAATTAGAGCGCTAAATATTTCACAAATGTAGTACTTTTTTATAAAATATGTATACAATATGTACAAAATAATATAGTTATTATAAGAAAAAGCAAATACCATTTTTACGTGATCATAACAAAGATCCCAAGAGGTTACAAAAAGGGATAGTCTAATCCAGCCACAACGAGTTAATATCAGGAGACCTTTTTGCTCTCTATGAGATACACAACAGTTATATGAAAAAATACGTAATTTATTTTATACGTAGGTAATAAAATATATCTACAAAATTATTTGCTATGTTCCACGTGTAAAATAAATAATTTATGTTATTAAAATAACTTATACATTTATATTATAATATACTATATATTATAATTTATAATATAAATATAATAATATACTATATTAATATAATACTCACCCTCGCTTCGCTCAGGTTCGTCCCTAGCTTGCTTCCCAATACAAACTTTCATCCCCATTTTCACCCCCATAAGGGATGATTTCCAGGATAAAAAGTCTTAAACTATTTTCTTGCCAAATTTCATCTAAATCGGTTCAGTAGATCCAGAGATTACCCCCTACAACTTTACAAACTCACAATTCACAAACTCACAAACTCACAAACTTTACCTCTTTATAATATTAGTATAGATTAACAATCAAAAAGATTTATTGTGTTTTTTCGAACAATTATAAGAATTAAAGCGTAAATAAGAACATTAAAGTTTATTTGATCTTAAATTATCTTATATACTTATTCTGTGCCAATATCCTGAAAATATTAAGCCAGAATATTTAATATGAATATGAAATTTATTCAAAGTAGATGACAAGATATTCAAAAATCTGAATTCGCTCTCATTTCGCTCCAGCCTCAGTAAATATAATATTACTAATTACGAAGCTCAAAATTTTAGCTAGTCTTATTTAGGTGTTATTTTTATTTTTACACTAGCATTGCCCAAGGCTCCGCCCGCGTTCAGATGATCAAAAACCAAATTCTTAGGTTTTACATATTAGTATACTCTTACAATGCAGTTTTTGTATTTTTTCTCAGAAATTAGATATTTTCCTGCGGTAAAAAGTATCCTATATGTTGAAATTTCATCAAGATCTGTCCAGTGGTTTTCTCGTGATGCGGTAACAGATAGACAAACAGACAGATAGACAGACAGACAAAAATTCTAAAAATTATAGATTCGGACTCTGTATCGATAATAATGTCTATTTCAATTAGATTTTCCAAAAAATATTTAATGTACAGATTCGACTTAGTTACAATTTTATTTTATGTATAGATAAATAATAAATCGTAATGAAAATTCCCAAAAATTTTGTAACACAGATCATATCATATTAACGTTTGAACGTTTGATAAACAAAATTGCAGTGATATTTAATAGAAGTATAGTTTAACTATTGACTAAATAAAGACTTAAATACCAAAGCTTGTTAAAATAATAAAAGATCAATATTGAATTTATAAATTTAATAAATAAAGTATGTACTTATATTTACATAAATAAGTAGCGATCTAGGGTAATACATACGTAATATTCCTAAAATATGTATAACTTAAATGAAAAAAGTAATTTCGAATATGTCCTTATTTTTTTCAATTTATCCGAGCGATATAGGTAACAAGTTTAATGTCAAGCCCTTTACATAGATACAAAACTCTCTCGAAGGGCGTCTGGAGGTCCTGCGTGAAAAGACGAATGGCACTTGTTATTTATCGAACCGCCCGTCGTAAAACAAAATGCCGATGTTTTATTCTTGGAATAGCAAAAATACGCAGGCAAAAATGTTAGCTAACATTAATCCTCTGTTCTATAAAAAACCGTAGCAAAGAAACACCAGTGACATATAAATAGTCCCCGAGGAATTAGAATTATGCTGATCAAGTCGCCGGGTCAGTGCTATATTAGATGCGATAACAAAACGTGTTACATTTAACACAGATGATGAGATTGAAATGACAGAGCTGATAATCATATTTTACAATATACAGCCATGGTATTATATTTTACTACAGTTTTTAAATTATATTGAATCTTAGAATGTGTTGTTGCCAAAGTAAAAGAGACCTTTGTATATTATATTGTTTGGAAAAGGATATTTCTTTTAAACAAAGAAAATTTAAAACACTTAATATATTTATCAACTTTTAAGTGTGTAGGGTTCTTTTAGCCTCTTAAAGCTAGACATATGTATAGTTTTAATTTCCTACATGCTACTAGCACTTGCTATAAAGCGGATATAAATGCGTTCTGTCAAAGAACTCTTCGGAGACGTACACATCAAAGGCATTTCACCCTTCTCTAAAAAACTTCAAATACCACTAACTTCACGCAATCTTAATTTGCTTTGCATTAAAGCAAAGATAACACAAGGCTATTTAATTAAATAGAATAAGCCGGTCGGGTTAATTAGGTAGCTTTCTATTCGTCGGTGGGCTGGATAAGATTTCTTTAAGTGTTTAGGATGAATTTATATCTCGACATAGGAATGTTGAGAGGCGTTGATCCCTCTGGCTCGCTCCTACGTTCCAACAAGATAACACAGTGTACGGCCAGGACACCAGGTGTCGTATAATCAAATACCAAAGAGATGTTTCCTAACGATTATTTACACAGGCCTTGTTTAATGCCAGTTTTGTGCAAACAGCCACAGTTTGTAGTTTGTGTTGATGTTTATTACTGCGGTGGTATGATGGCGCTTGCATTTAACGAGACTATTATACCTATATTACCTAGCAATGTGAATTTTTGGTAAACCTAGTTATGATAAATTATTTTAAATTATGAAATGTATCAAAATGTGATTATAAAGCCATTAGTTTTATTTTATAATATATTATTATATAAAAAAGGTAAGTGCGGATTGGAATTCGCGTTTGGGGTGGATATTTTTTTCATGTATTGTAAGGAGTTCTAGTACCCCTGAATTGGTTTCGTATGAATTCGCAAATTGAATTCTATATTTTTGCAATATCTTATCTAATTTTATAATGTATGTGCCATTTTGGAATACACATCTTAATTCTCTACAAACATAACTTCAACGTCAACATATATAATTTTCTCTTTTCTTTCACAGAGCACTTGACGGGTCTGTCTTATCAGTCACAGAACAAGACATCGGTTCTATTCTCACAATTATATAAAAGCCACGCAACGCGAACACACGTTCCACTTAGCGTCCTTTATGATGACATTAGAAATATCCTGAAACCCAATACAGAAGCAGATGATATAAATAGCGAGTACTTAGGGCCTGCTCCAAAAGATATGACTTTAAGTGCAAAAAAATTCTTTCGGGAGGTATTCCCTGTTGCTTACCAAAATGTACTTAAGCTAGAGAAGAAACAGTTCCTTCCAGAGTACGAAGCTTGTTTAAAGGATGCATATGATGCCGTCCAGCCATTTGGAGATGTTCCACAACAGGTAAGCTATTCTGACATGGTACAAGACCTGAGCAAATGACTAAAATTTGAAACAAATTCTTGTTTTTAAACTATAATTAAATCTAAAATAATTAGAGTTTATACACTTATGGAGGCTGTCATTAAGTCTACTGTATATACATATATATGTATACAAAATTTCAACTTCTTTGGTCCAGTACATAACAGACAGACAGGACACAAGTCATTCTATAAGAATGACTCACAAATCAGAACAGAACACAAGTCATTCTTATAGAATGGCTTGTGTTCTGTTAAAGGGAAATAATAGATATTTTTTAGAATGATAAAAATACTAAATAATAATTTAAGTACCTATTAACAAAACTTGTTCGATTTAGAGAGGAATTGTTTTAAATACGTGTTTTACAATTAATAAAGGTAAACTCAAGTTTTGTCTCTACATAGAGTCCTTTGTCCAAACAGCTAGGGGCTTCATTGTCACGGTCGCTGGAAGCGGCCCGAGCGTTACTCCAAGTACTAGTAGTGGGCGCGAGCGCACTCGCAGCGAGTGAGAAAGTGCTCTCGAGTGTGAACGAAGAGTGCTCTACCAAATTGCTCCATATGGGAGGCTGTTCCCGATGCAAAGGACACGATGTCAGTCCCTGTCGGAATTACTGCTTGAACGTCGCAAGAGGGTGAGTTATCTTCTCGTCGGTAATAGCTTTTGTCTTTCATGATGAAGAACTTAAAGATATGGACTGCTGATTCAAATTGTCTACTATAACGAAATTTTTATACGTTATGGTCCTTTTTTAAAAAGCTCATTATATGTGGATTAAGAAAATAATCCGTAGAAGACAGAGTATAACACAATTTAGAATATTTTTCAGAGCTTGTGCTATAAGTTAATAAATAATACTTGTAGGTAGTAAGATGGCGAAAAAAAACCGAATAATTTTTTTTTCGTATCTCTTATGAAAATATGTTAGTTTTCCATGTTTCAAAAGCCCTCTTTAAAGATCACCCCGAAAAAATTATTGTAAGGTGTAGCTCAAGATTTTTAAAATTCGCTAGGAAACATCAAAAGCAATGAACTCATAAATAAATGTTCATGAATTCTAAGCGACCTTTAAAAATCAATATTTTAAACTGTAATTTTGGGAAATTGTAAATTTTACCACAGTGAGAAAAAAAAATTTAACCATTTTTAGAATTTTTAAAACTATTGAGCAACCAAAAAAAATTTTTTTCGAAGTGATCTTTAAAGAGGGCTCTTAAAACATGTAAAACCTACCATATTTTCATATGAGACACGAAAAAATAATTTGTCGGTTTTTGCGCCACTCTTATAGGTAGTCGTATTAATATTGTTAACCTACTTATAATTTAGATACTTTTTAATAGAAGCGCTAAAAATTATCATTTTTACTGTACCTACTGCGGAAAACGAAACATTGCACTCTTAATAGATAGCCGGGCGTTTGCAAATAAAATGTTTCTCTTCTTGATTTCGCAGCCTTAATCTTAACAATTATATATAGAGACTAGCGGACCCGACAGACGTTGTCCTGTCTACACGTCTTTAATTTGAAAATTTCAAACTTTTTTTAATAATTTTTTTGATGAAAATTATTATTCAAATTGTGAATCTAAACCATTCCCAGATCCCCTTGAACATACACAAAAAATTTCATCAAAATCGGTCCAGTCGTTTGAGAGAAGTTCAGTGACATACACACTCACAGAAGAATTATGTATATAAAGATATATTAAACTATAGGTATAAATTTCAAAAAGCTTTGATTTATTACTGCAATTAAAAATGTTGATGTAAATATTAACTCAACAATAGATTTTTGTTAATGTTATTTAGGTAATGTATGTAAGTACATAATATCTATACTGATATTATAAAGAGGCAGATTTTTTTGTTTGTTTGTTTGTTTGTATGTTTGATTGAACGCGCTAATCTCAAAACTATTTATTCGATCTGAAAAATTATTTTTGCATTAGATAGTCCGTTTATTGAGGAAGGCTATAGGCTTTATATCATCCCGGAAAAATGTACGGTTCCCGTGGAATAGATTTGAAACTTTCTTAGATTTACGCGAATATTTGACATTTCAAATAAAACTATCTTTTCGGATTATTTCGCGGATTTATTTTGATTTTTGGTTCCCGATGTTTCGAATGCTTTACAGCATCCATGGTCACGGGAGAGACTCAACATAGGGAACCAAAAATCAAAATAAATCCGCGAAATAATCCGAAAAGATTTAGTATCAGACTTAATATCAGAATGTTATTAAGTCTTCTAGTATACACTGGCTTAACCACAAGAAACTTAAGAATACATTGTACGCAACTTTATTTAACTTAGTACAAAAACACTTTAGTATTCCAGTCATATAAATAACTCCTAAACATACTTAGTAAATATATGAAGTAATTACTTAACAAAGTTTTTGTCAAAAGAGAAGGAGACTGATAAAAGAATACAAGATTTTTTTATTATTGTTGCTGCAAGTGTTTGAAGTACTAACGGTGGAAGCTAGCACCCTTGAGTTTCAATGCGGAATGCTCGGCTCGAATTCTACAAAAGAACTACGTTTTAAGGGTCGATACAAACCTTTTCAAAATAATGTCGTTAAGAGAACACGGGGATTACTAATTACTATTGAGTATTTAAAACGGTAGGGGATATAAAGCCCCAGCGATCGGTTTATGCAAATAATAAAAATAAATTTTATTACGTACTAGGGACACACCCCCGCTCCGCTCGGGTTCGTCCGTTTTAACGTTTAGTATAGATTTCTCAGAGATAAGATATTTTCGGCAGTAAAAAGTATCCTATATGATGACTTGGATAACCAGCTATCATCATACCAAATTTCATCAAAATCAGTCCAGTGGTTTTCTCGTGATGCATTCCCAGACAGACAAATAGACAGACAGACTAAAATCTAAAAACTATAGATTCGACTCAGAATTTTATTATATGTATAGATTTAATAATAAGCATTAAACTTGTAGTGTTTATAACTTTTCTGGTTTCAACAAAGTAGCCAAGAAACTCGGAATGGCTAGGGTATAATTAACTTTGTAGTCAAAAGTTTCAAGTTTATCGAGCAAACAAGAGCTAAGTACTGTTATAAGTTGTCTTATATTTATACAAAATTATGTTGTTCATTTCGTTCATAAAAATTTATTAACTGCCGTATCCATAATTAATTTCTTTCTGTATAGTCAGATTTCAAAATCTATTTAACGACTAGCATTGCACGCGGCTCCGCCCGCGTTCAGATGATCAAAAACCAAATTTTTAGGTTTTACATATTAGTATACTCTTATATTGCAGTTTTGTATTTTTTCTCAGAAATGAGACATTTTCCCGCGGTAAAAAGTATCCTATATGTTGATCCGGATAACCAGCTATCTCCATACCAAATTTCATCAAAATCCCTCCAGTGGTTTTTTTGTGATGCGGTAACAGACAGACAGACAAAAATTCTAATAACTATAGATTCGGCCTCTGTATCGATAATAATATCTATTTCAATAAGATATTACAAAAAATATTACATGTACAGATTCGGCTTAGTTACAATTTTATAATAATTATGTATAGATTTCATAAAATGAACATGTATGTAATAAGTGCTTATATAAAGTTCTAAAACAAGAAATACCTGTATATAAATAATAATACGAGTAAATGTTTGAGGAAATCGTGCTGCATATTTTATTTTAAAATACAATATATTTTCCACATTTTTTTCTAATAATGAGTAAAGTGAAGATATTGTTACTTCATGGAAAAATAATATAACGAAAATATTAAATTAATAATTCAGCGTCTACTCAAAGTTCAAGTTATTTTAATAATTTACGTGGTTTATTTTATAATAAAGACGTCCTTGTTAGTGGCCAAGAACTTTGTACCACTTTCTTAAGACAATAATAATAAATTTTAATATTATGTCCCATCAAAGCTTAGCCTATTTACTTTTTAATACTTAAAACTATTGAGAACGTCACTTCATAATGTGCTAGCTAGATTCAAAGCAAAGGAAGAAATAACTATAGCCAAACCAGTAATTCTAATCAATGAGTATAAATCACCCTGATAAAATATTAATTCTATTTTCAGTTTAGTTAAATCATGTTTTAATATTAGTGCTGTTTAGACGGGTATTTTTTTCTCATTTAATTTTGTTTGAAAATAAAATTTAAATAATTAAATGAGAAACGTCGGGAACTAAAAACCAAAATAAATACGCGAAAAAATCCGAAAAGGTAGTTTTATTTAAAATGTCAAATATTCGAGTAAACCTAAGAAAGTATTTTTTTTTTGCAGTATAAGTGCAGTAGGTACCTACAATAACATCTTGTGAAATATAGGAGCTTATACAAAATATCTTTCTATAATCGTTTAAGAATAGAAATCTTATCGGAATATCGTATTACGATTCTATGACAATGATTAAATTTGTCATTACAATACAATTTTTAAAATGTCTATTAATAATGATTGTAGAATAAATTAAAGCCCAATGAATAAACAAGCGAAATGACATTATTTCATGTATATAAATTTTATATACATAAAACATAAATAACTTCACGTATCCAGTATGTTTGTCTGACATTTTTTTTTCATTTGACAGGTGCATAGGTTCCTTAGTAGTGGAACTAGACGCGCCTTGGACGGGATATGTGGAAGGCGTTGAACGTCTTGCGAGGGCGGATGCGGATGCAGCCTTACGAGCGTTAGATGTAAGAGTATCTGAGGCGATTATGCACGCTCTTGAAAACCATGTGATTTTGGAAAAGAAGGTACGTAAATATAATAATAAAATATAATATTATTAGAATTGTTATTTAAATTGGCAGCATAGTGTAGTAGGAATATTTTCTAGAACCTTAAACGAGGTGTTTTATATTTATATAGGACATTGTATTTGAGATGGGAAAAGACATAAATATACATTTAGGATCGGTTAACAAATTACCAGTTTTTTGATATTTTTAAGGATAAAATTACTTAAATAAGTCTTAAATTTTATGTAGTATATCAAGTAAAGTACAAAATATTTGAGTTCATGGAAAAAATCGTGATATAAAATATTTTTTTGCCAAAAGAAATTTGAAACAATTGCGTGTTAAATGATTATTCTAGAAAATGCACCTAATTGTCTTTGAAAGTTTTCTCGGAATGCCTCGTTGAGACGCAAAACACGTTTGGACTGTAGCCGAAGTCAGCTTGGATCTTGAAACAAGTCCGAAGTTTTAATTTATGCACCACTCTGCACATACATTTGTAAATGTTCAACATGTTGCCAAGTGTTACATAACTTACATTTTCATAACAATGCTCCCGTAATAGGGATTGTTGAAATTTATTTCACTTTCGTTAAATTCAGTTCGTTTGCTCTTAATATGTGACAAAAATGATAATAATTGCAATACGATCTCAAAATAAGTTATATTAATATAATCATTACTAACTCCACCCGCGTTCAGATGACCAAAAACCAAATTCTTAGGTTTAACATATTAGTATACTCTTACAATGCAGTTTTTGTATTTTTTCTCAGAAATGAGACATTTTCCCGCGGTAAAAAGCATCCTTTATGTTGACCCGGATAACCAGCTATCACCATACCAAATTTCATCAAAATCCCTCCAGTGGCTTTTCTGTGATGCAGTAACAGACAGACAAAAATTCTAAAAACTCTAAAATCTATAGGTTCGGCCTCTGTATCGATAATAATGTCTATTTCAATAAGATTTTCCAATAAATATTTAATGTACAGATTCGGCTTAGTTATAATTTTATTATATGTATAGATTTTGAATTTAAATCTTTTCTGTCAACGTTACAGCTGAGTCAATAAGATAACAATATAGAGATAAAATATAATAATTTAAACTCTGATTTCTCGTAAATTTATTACGTGCATAATGCAGTGTCTACATTGCAAACTGGTAGAACGACTTGCTTAGTTTCCAACCAAATTCATTTGCTGCTGTAAATTACTCTGTAACAATGTAAAATAAACTTTCCGAATTCGAAATGTTTTGGCATACGATTCGTTCGTGGTGAACGAGATAATTTTCTGCACGATAAAATATTTACTAGTCGCTATAATTTCACCTGACTTACCGTTCTACCGGAAACTAACAGGAGTGGCACATTTTGCACGCCATTTTAGCATGAAATTGCCACAGAGCCAATGAGATATGAGTTGTGGTGGCGCTTGTTACATACGACGATTATTTACCAAAAATGTTGCATCGGACTCTGTTTCATTCGTAGTAAAGTTATCAAACGTTTCACACTGTCGTCGCGAAGCTTGGCAGAACGCCACATATGAGAGTTCTGTTCAACGGAACATTTCAATTATTTTACGGTTATCGCATCAAGTCCACTCTGTACGAGGAAATACTTAAATACTGTAAATGCTTTAAGCCTCGCGGTATTACTTAAGTCTCCTTTTATTGTTAATAAAGTATAATTTTATATTGAGAACTAAATTCATTTAATAAGTCCAGTAATATTTTCTTATATTTACGCGAAGATTTAACAATTTAAATAAAACTATCGTTTCGGATTATTTTGCGAATTTATTTAGATTTTTGGTTCCCGACATTTCGAATGCTTTATACCAATCATGGTCACGTGTCTCCTCCCGTCTCCATGATTATATACTACTGTAAATATAAAATCAAAATAAATCCGCGACATAATCCGAAAAGATAGTTTAATTTAATAAGTCGAGTTTAAACTGAACCTATTCAATTGAATTGAATTATAGATTAAAAAAGTAATATAAAGAGTACTCGTATATATTAAAAACCTGACGGATTTGCTTTATTTTATTATACTGGATTTCTAAAAATTTACAATTTTTTGACGTAACATCCGCCAAATTGTCACATGCCATATTATATTTATATCAAAATATTTCAAAATATTCATTTCCATGTTTTTGCTTATAAATTATACTTAATCAGTAAGTGATTACTAATCAAAAGTCATAAATTTCTTTAAGTATTACGAGTTCAAACCATAATAACTTTCATGTCATCGTGTCACAATTTTTCACTTTGTTCGTAATCAATTACAATAATAAATCGCTTCGGTAACACAGCGCTTCAACAGCCAGAACAGTTCATCTTGCAGTCGTAAAGTTAAGAATCTTTCTTTAGATTAAGTTTACGCGATGTTATGAGACCATAAAGAAGGTGGAATGGTCGTAGGCGAGGCAGGTCAGACGTGGGCGCGGGTCGACCAAGCCCGTAGTGCAACACTTGAAGAATCTGTTTTCTATAAAGCATAATCCCACAATTTTCATGTTTGATTGTCTCGAGTCAATGTACCTTGCCTAATTGTAGGTACTTGTCGTTTCAATAGTGGAGAAGGATAAATAATAATAGCTAACGAGAACTGTTCCGCAAAGACAATATCCTGACAACGACACAAAGTCTAGAACAGATGTATGTGAGTGACCTTAGATAATATTGTTTAGTCATTCACACGATATCGATGAAGTCACAGCCATTCTGTCGCCAATAATAGAGTTCCACGCATTCAGATTCATGAATTCCATTCTTATGATAAAATGTAATGATTGTGGTATTACAACTCACCGCAAAAGTAGAACTTTAGCTTCTATCAAATGTGTAGGTTCTTTAATATGTTATTATAAAACTGAGTACTAACAGTTTATAAGCTATTTTTAAACTAGCAGAACTCGCCGCTTGACTCGCGCTAAAACTACAAAAAAACTCTAAAAAGTGGGTTTCATAAAAACTTTCATCCCCTATTTTACCCTTTTTGGGGTTGAATTTTAGAAAACGCTGAAATACTCATGATTTTTGCTGTACTCAATTCATATGAAATTTTATGCAAATGAAATGAAATATCCAAGGAATAAAAAGTTTCATACAAACTTTTATCTCCTATTTCACCCCCTTAGGGATTGAATTTTGAAAAATCCTTCCTTAGTGGATGCCTTCGTCGTATGAGGAATACGTGTGCGAAATTTAAATTTTCTAGGCTTAAAGGTTTGGCCTGTGCGTTGATACATCAGTCAATCACATTTGCCTTTTATATATACAGATTATGCAACAATATTTTTAATTGTATTAAATGTGTAATATTTAAACACCTCTAATTAATTTATGAAAGTGAAATAATATGTCATCAAATGTTAACTCCCTCTTGATTCTACTTAAGAAATACGCTATTCACCGTTCTCTTGTATTTTTTTTTATTTTTATAAGGTTTGCTAGTGGTTATTACATGTTTTACAAGAAATGATACGGCACAATTATGCGTAACCGTTTAAAAACAAACCAAATTTGCATATCTTGGTATTCGTTTTTAAAATTATGAAGATTTATAAAAACTTAGTAATTAATATTCTAGATTAATCATTAGCTTAAATAAATTAAATAAAAATATAGCAATAATACAATTTACAAATGATGATTAATTAATAATTAATATCTATAATTTACAATTTAACGTTAAAGTATTTGACAAAGATTAACTAATACATTATTTTTTTTAAAACACTGAATAATAACAGTGTATTTATCCGGGTTACGTCCAAACAGCAGAAACAATAGGGCCGTATTAGCGGCGCAGACAAAACACAGACATCCGTTGACTCACCTCACGTAACAATGATTATGTCATTCAGCCACCAAGGACACTAATTCCGGGATACCATTTGTCATAATTTATGATCCGGTGTATATCGCCGGAAGTTTTTAAATCTATTTCAATTTAAACAAATCAGGTTAAATAGTCTCTATATCCATTTAATAAAATTGATAAAATATTCTAAGGCAAAAATATGATTATTGCGATTATGAAATATCTACCCCATATTCAATTATAATCATGTTGTTATGATGCCAAACTCAAGAAACCATTAAAAGTTGATGATCTGTATATTTTTTGTCACAAATGTTATATTTTAACGCGACGTTCATTAACCGATGGAGAATTCAGGCAAAATTGACAAAGTAATTTATATCTTTACTAGCAACTCACCCTCGCTTCTCTTAGGTACGTTTTGATTGATTGCCCATAGAAACTTCTGGGATAAAAACTATTCTATGTCCTTCTTTCTATGTCTTTCTATTCTATGTTCTTCTAAGCCGTACCGATTCTAACAATCGAATTGAAAGAGAGTAAAATACTAAGGAGTTATTAAGAGGTTCTACATAAAAGTCCTTTAAATTTTACCGAATATTAAATATGTGTTAATAATATGACATACAAATTATATAGATACGTATTATTCTATAATTATTGTAAAATGTTTCCGAATAGTCTGTTGAAAGGCTTTCAGTATGAATTCCTCTCACTTCAATGGCTCTGTAAGTTTATAATAACCAATGAAACGTGATTTAAACCAGCTATATATGAAAGAGATTTATTCCACAAAGCAGTTTTACGAGCTCGGAAAAGCTTTTATTATAAAAGGCTCGAAGTCGCTCGGTAAAATGTTGACTTTCAATTTTCATGGTAATAGCGTTGGTTCTGGTTCCAATCCCTGCGGATTCAATTGTTTTTATTTTACTTTGGATTTATTTTACTTTCATAGCGTATTCTATGTTACGCAAGAATCGGCTTGTTCTAAATACATCTTATATAAAAGATAATTTAGAAATTCATTTAAATTTATAATGAATACTGTGCATATCAATAGCAATAGTTTTTGGCAGATGGCATTTTTAAAGCGCTTCATTTAGTGAAAATTGTGCATTTTTAAGTATATACAGGGCCGGATTCAACCTTATCGCCGCCCCTGGGCACT